CCTGATCCGGAAAAGGATCGGTGGTGGTGTCAAGTACGTCCATTGTTATGATAACTAACGACTGATAAGTGTGACAAGAAGTACGGCCCGGGTATCGGGTCAACAACTTAAGGGCTCCGTAGAGCCAGGGGCGACGGCAACGAGGTCAGAGACCCTCCTACCGAAGCCAACTACGAGTCAATCGTGACCGCTGGCGCGACCAAGTAGACTGGGGACATGCGTACCGCCGGAGCGGCAGCACGGACAACGCGGGTATGCTGCCATATAAGGCAACAAACCCCTTTAGGACCACTTGCGCGGCCCCCGACGTGGAGTGCGATCACCGAAGTGACTGCGTGGCGTGGAGAACGCCAACCCGCCGTCTATCTCTCCGAGGAGCTCAACCATCTGCGATGGTGGCCCCCTTCAGCCGCTTGCGCGGCCCCCGACGTGGAGTGCGATCACCGAAGTGACTGCGTGGCGTGGAGAACGCCAACCCGCCGTCTATCTCTCCGGAGGAGCTCAACCATCTGCGATGGTGGCCCCCTTCAGCCGCTTGCGCGGCCCCCGACGTGGAGTGCGATCACCGAAGTGACTGCGTGGCGTGGAGAACGCCAACCCGCCGTCTATCTCTCCGAGGAGCTCAACCATCTGCGATGGTGGCCCCCTTCAGCCGCTTGCGCGGCCCCCGACGTGGAGTGCGATCACCGAAGTGACTGCGTGGCGTGGAGAACGCCAACCCGCCGTCTATCTCTCCGAGGAGCTCAACCATCTGCGATGGTGGCCCCCTTCGGCCGCTTGCGCGGCCCCTTGACGTGGAGTGTGCGCTCGCCGCAGCGGCGACGCGTGGCGCGGGGTACGCCTCCAGTCCGTAAAACACCCCTGCTAGGGCCGCTTGCGCGACCCGTCGGTCTCCTACGCCCACACCCGCGACTGCGAGTGCAGCGTGCCCGCGTCAGATCTTCGACCACGTCGGCTCCCCAAGGGGAGGATTCCCTCCGACGTGACTGCCCCGAAGGGAAAAAGACTGGCTTGAGCTGAACCGTGAAAATTTGGGAATGGATCCGGAAAAGGATCGGGCACATGCTTGCGCTCAAACTTGAGCCTCTTTCGACGGAAGGGATCCTTTTGCTTCGCGCTGGTAGCAGCTCGCATATCCCGTCCTTGTTTTTGTGATTCTTGCTGCTGTAGCCTAGCGATCTGATCGAACGAGACGAAGAAACACATTTGGTACTGGGTCTTGTGCTGGGCCGTTTGGGTCTCAGCTATAACGAGCAAGACTTTATGATGCATCCCGCTGCTTGAGACAGCCGTGAACAAAGACCGTCACGCCTCGAGCGAGCAGCAACTTCGATAGTAGTCCGCGGCTTGCCCGACACGTCGTAGTGTGCCTGTTTATGAGCAACGGTGTGTGCGTGACTACGCGTTGACACCATTGTGTATTCCACGAAAGACTGGTAGAGCCATCCTTTCGAACGGGCAGATGGCCCCGCAGCGATGAGTACACGAGCATCCCCTGCCGACGTCACGCTGATGGACCGGTGTCCCCAACTCGGACGAAAACATCGGTCCAGGGTCGCCTCGGACCGTCGACAAAGGCGATTTCACCAAAGTGGACATCCCCATCGCGGTCTCGAGCCCATGAATCCCGGTCAGACAAGAGACCGTATCCTCTCCAGCACAAATGCCAACTGTATACTGCGTCCTCCTCCCGCAGATACTCCTTACAGTGCTGTCGTGCAGGCTCCAGCCTCCAATTGTGCGGCATCGGGTGCTGCGCGCTGACGTAGATCAGTACTCATACGGCCATTTCCTGGGACGGGCAACGGTGTCCCTGGACAAGTAGCGTTGATGGGGCTAAAGTCCTTGCTGTCGCGCAGGTTACCCTTCCCATACAAAAAGGCCGCCATCTTCGTCGTTCTCGACAGGCAACGACACGTCCATGTGCTGGGATCGGTAGATCACCACGCTAACGACAGCAACAGAAGCAATGGCTGCAGCTACACTGCCAATGACAGCGAGCCACACGGGCCAGCTCAGCTTGGACATCACGTACTCGTCGCTGTTAGCAAACTCCACGCTGGCGTCAAACTGCAGATACACGCCTTCACACGTACTGTTTGGCTGGTTCCGTGTCTGCAAGACATAGCACGAGCCAGTAGCTGTGCTTTGTGCTTGCGTTGGCAAAAGAGCTCCAGCTTTAGTTGACCATGGCACCGAGTACAGAAACGTTCCAGCTTTCATGTCCTTGGCACGAGAGCCATCGGCAATGAAATGGTACACCACGTCACCATCCATAGATCTGCTGTCCAATGGTGTACTCGTTGCGACCGCCGAGTCGGTGGTTTTCCACACTGCCAGCAGATTGCCACATTGCACAAGCCCACTGTGATGGAACATCTTGATCGCTAGACAGTCCATGGACTGACACTTGTGGCCTTGTTTGAAGTAGATCCAGTCCTGCGCGACATTGGAAGCGCTGAGGGAAGTGAGGTCCTGGTCAACTGCGCACTGTGTGAAGCGTCGAGAGAGTGTCGCGTTGCCCACACAGCGACGTCGAGTCCGTGCCTGGAAAATGGTCGAGCAGCCCACGACCGTACTCACGCACTCGTGGCCATTGGCACAGCTGCACTCTTGATCGTTGCAGAAGACGTCGTCGATCTGGATGCCTCCAGTGACGTCGCACACGTCCACCCCATCGCTCGCGTCGCTGCAGTTGCGGGCCAAATACCCACACGCGCTGCATTCGGATGCGTCAGCGGCTTCTGGCAGCGCTAAACACACGACACAGCACAGTACAAACGGGACCAGGAGATAGCTCTGCATGTTGCGCATCGGTTGAGAGGCGGATCGTCGGTGGCAAAGTCGGTGGGCGTCAGGACGGGCTGCTGCTCTCGACGTCTGCCCGCGCGCTCTGGTGTGCGGACAAGGACGGCGATGTGCACTGACGAGATGGAGTGGCTCGACTGGGAGTGTGTTCCACACTGAATATGCGTTTTCGAGATACACCGACTTGATGTGGTGTACGCAATCGACCCCATGCGCTACGATGACGTCGCCGTGTTGACACTGCTGCTATACCGATCGCATACCGGTAGGATCGCTTTCGGCTACTTCACAAAGCTTGGCCTTGTCGATCGGGAAAGCGAGTGTGTGCACCACGAATCCGATCGCGCGATAGAGGCCCACAAGTTGCAGGAAGCGAATCGTGCGGGACGACGTCATGAAGGACGTGACTGGGTTTTTTCCATCCAATCAATGCGAATTGTGTTTTCCAATCGGTGGGTCATTGACTTTTGCGTCGTTGTTTACACTGTCTTGTTTCTGCATACCATCACTTGAGCACGACTGGCCACCAATCGAGAGCCAAATTCGGATCCGGCTTCAAGTTGACGACAAGTTGAGACCGGACGACCGCACGTGCGTCAACGAGCTGCCGCACAGCTGTTGCGCCTTTACGATCTCACTGGAACAGTTCTCGGTGTTCACTGACTGTTCGGTTCTATCCATCGTCGAGAGTAGGAGGACGGAGGTGCGTGTCGCACGATCGGTAGCTGCGTCTCTGTGGTGGACATTTGCTGGCGTCAATTG